TAATATAAAAAATAAAAGTTCGAATTGACCAGAAATTGTTAGAGTTACTAGATATTAATAAATATTCCTTAAAATAAGTATGTATTTGAAATTAAAACTCAAAAAGTGAGAATTATCCTAAAGGAACAATTCAATTTCAAAAGACTCCTTTTAACGATTTTGAAGGTTTTCGCCGATTTTCCCACCGCATAAATGCTTTGAAAACATGTTTCCAAAATATGTTCGATATAGATCTTAATTTTTAAATTCAGTTTCAGTTTTCCTCTTCCGAGGATTTTTATATGCGGCAATAATAAAGAAACCATTGTGTAGCGTGTCAGGTACTGCGGATGACCCATCAATTCTACTGTCTGTCCGGTCAGAAGGCTCTGGTTTGTGAGAGTTTTCATTATCATGCTTAACAATGATCCATCTTCTCTTGTTTGTTTTTCGAATTTATCCGATGACTTCTGGTATACAAAGTGTGTTTTAGCTCACCCACCATTTGTTTCGAAATGACCTTTCCACAATACGACCGATTATTATTTTGTTCCAGTATCATTCCCATAAATCCAAAATTGTTTAACTGTGTTATTTAGTGGCACAACGACCCTTTAGATATACACAAAGCTTCGCCTTTAAATGATCATCGGCCCAGATATTGATGGCGCTATATGATGGCAAATAATTTATATCATCGATTCGCTCTGTTGTAATAATCCACTTCGGAAGTTCCGATATATGATTGCATTAAACATTTACGAGTCATTTGCGAGTCAATATAAACCAGGGTGCACAAAAATTCGCTCGAATTCACATGAATGAAAATACATTCTTTTCGTTTTGTGCTCATTTTACGAATGAATTTATGGCGATAAATTCTTTACCAAACGAGCATTCGCCAAAGAATGTTCGCACATACATAACAAACGAATGAGAGCACACAACAACGATCGTTCGGTTCGTTTGGTGGTTGAAATTCTTTCTGACATTCTCTCGCGAATGAAATCAAACATTCTCGAATTCTCGCGAATGCTCAAAACAGCAACAAGAATAACAACAAACGTTCGTGAACTCAATAGTTGTTGGACATGTGCTACACACACACACATTCATTCGTTATGTGTGTGTTTACTTTTTTATGATATTATTGTTCGTTGTTGTTTATAACAGTGCTCGCGAACATTTGGTTTTTGAGTTTTTCAAAAGAATGTTCTTCAGTAATAAATGCTCGCGACAAACGAATCGATGACGCTTGCAGCGAAATTTTATCGTTCGTGAATTCTTCGTACAAAGCACACATTCGCGAGAGATTGCAAATGTATGTATGTTCATTCATTGTAACATTATCATTCGCGATAAAAAACATTAGAATTCTCGCGGTGAACATTCGTATTTTAATCATTCTTCGTACCCTGGTAAAAAATGAAAAAAAAAGTTGGGGATAAAAAAATATATATTATAAACCAGTAAGGAAAGTAGTAAAGTAGGACGGGGCCGACTATATGATAACCTTCACCACTATGGGTATATTAAACAGGACTATTAACATGAAATTGGATAAAATAAAATATGTGATATTTATCTAAATGTGAATCGACGTAGAGCTATCCATAAACATATCATTCGTTTGTTACTATGGGACAAATGTATGTAAATCGACAATTTCAGTACGTTTTGTTCCTATCAGCCATATAGTGGTTCCTTGGTGCGTCAATTCCTTAAAATAAATCTACAATATAAGGGACCTATATCTAAATCTCAACCGATTTTCACGAAACTTGGCACACATCATTCTGGATTAAATTCAGTACGCTATGCAAAATAAGAACTTTACTACATTATTTACATTAAATCGGACGAATATATATATATATATATATATATATATGGGAGCTATATCTAAATCTGGACCGATTTTCACGAAACTTGGCACACATCATTCTAGGCTCCATTCAGTACGTTATGCCAAATTTTGTGCAAATCGAAATATATATAGGGATTTTGGTGCACCATTTACATGAAATCGGACGAAACTATATATGGGAGCTATATCTAAATCTGGACCGATTTTCACGAAATTTGGCAGACATCACTCTAGGCCCAATTCAGTACGTTATACCAAATTTCGTGCAAATCGAAAGATATATAGGGACTTTGGTACACCATTTACATTAAATCGGACGAAAATATATATGGGAGCTATATCTAAATCTGAACCGATTTTTCCCAATTTCAAACGCCATAATTTTTACATTTTTATAATTTTATTCAATGATAGCAAAAAAATGTCGGAAATAGCATCAAATTTTAGAATAAGTTTAGATTTGTTCGAATTGATCACCTTTGGTCACCGAATTATGGCCTTCAAACGGCCAATGAAACCGTCACACGCTGCCCCAATGTTGATCTGCGGTATTTTGGCCCATTCCCGGCGAAGCGCTTGCTTGAGGTGATCGACATCACTTTGGTATTGTTTAGTGCCAACCGTGCTTTCCAAAATGCTCCAGACACAATATTCGAACGGATTGGTATCCGGAGATTTTGGTAGCCATTGTGAAGCGACGAACCTCATTTGGTAACAATTCTTGGGTGGTGCGTGCTAAGTGCGGTGGTGCTGAGTCCTTTTGGAATGTCCAAGGTATGCGGCCGAAATGTTTGCACACCCAAGGATTTAATACGCGATAATATTCGGCATTTATTCTACGGTCGATTAAGCGGAGAGCGACCATCAGCTGACCTCTTTGGCAAGTAAACACGATCATTTTGTTTGTTTACAAACTGCTGGACAACGAATATTTTCCCATCGAAGAAAACCAAATGCAACTGTTCATCACTCTCGAAACAACTCTTTAGCTTATTTGAGTCTATTTTCTTTCGTTTGCGGTGTAAGTTCTTGCACATTTTGGAATTTTAATGGCTTTACTTCGAGCTCAATATTTGCCGAATCGAATATTGCGATATGTTTCAGCTCACGAGCCATTTTTCGGCCACTGCGGGTTTCTATCAAGTCGCTTCTTTACTTTTCGAACTATTTCTGCTGATGTTGTTGTGTTCTTCCGTCCACTTCCTTGACGTCGGGCTACGCTACCAGTATCACTGTAACGAGCGATGGTGCGAGACTCAAAATATTTAAATGCTAGAGTGCTCAAACGATAGCCACTTGTAATTTTCCAGCCAAATATCAAGAAATCACACTGTGACGCTGGAATAATTTTAACAGCTGTCGGACGAGTGGCTTTGAAATGATCGGAAATGGTTATTTCGATGACATACAAACGGAAAACAAACTTAATATACCCGCCATACCACGGTGTAGGGTGTAAAAAAATGAAAAATTGTTTGGGATGAAACCAGAAATTTTAAAATATTCCGGAAAAATATAAATTATGAAAGAGGTGCTAGATCGCTTTTTTGTGCTAAACGAACTTAAACGTGCTAAATCTAGCACTAAAAGTGCTAAATTGGCAACACGGCTTCTAAGTGACAGGATTTGCATCGAAGTGATTCTTCAACGAATAACTGCTGTTGAAATTGGTTCCTTTTCGAAGAGCCACACATTCGATCCCATTTTCGGTATTTTTAAGGTTTTGCCGGCAACGAAGTATACAATTTTAAATGCTATTATCCCAAAATAAAACTCCAGACCGATTTAATGAATTTTTGAAGTATGTAGTGAGACAGAACTGCCGGTTGGAACTTAACGAATATTTTTCGTACCACTTACATTTAAATCTCTTGAGGTTTTCCTAGTATACTTCTTCATTACTCTGTACCCGAAATATAAATAGCAGCCCAAATATTTATTCTAGAACCATTAAGGTCAACATCTTATCATTTTTGCAATGTCTACTCTGAGAGGAATTTCTACGGTATGTTTATACAGATAATCGGGATGAGAGAACTTTTTGTTAATGGAATTAAGTTTCAATCATTTCAAAGAAATATAAATTCCTGATAAGAAAATTCAGCTGTTTGCTACGGTTTCGTAGACTAGCAATACGGAATTACCATAGTAATTGCGGATTAACTGAAGGCTACGGACTACGAAATGAAAGTGTTAATTGCGTTGTTGGCGATTGCAGTGGTGATTCAGGTGAGTTGACGAAATTCAGGTGCCTCGGCCAGGAATCTAAAATTATTATTTGGTACTTACTTCCAAACATTTTAATTCCACTACCCCTTCAACATTTCAGCTATGCCATGCCACACCACTGAACCGCCCAAAACGCAGTGATCAATTTGTTCGACGTTTTGAAAAAATGGGCAGTCTAGCAAAAAGTTTAATACCCCGCACCGAAATAGTGATCAGATCTACCATACAAAAATTACCCAAAGCTAATTCATACAACAAATATCGTCAAGATCTGCAATCCTATTTGAATTATGTCAATCTATACAAAACGAAACGCGGAAAATGTTACGAAAAGTCATTCGATCTGATTGGTAAATATGCTGAGACAATGGAACGTTACGATAAACCAAATGCAACCGAAGAAGCGAGACAAGTACGCGCCTTGCTCAAGGAATGTGGAAGTGAAACTCTTACCCGTGATTTAGATGAATGGATTGATGCCTATGAGAAATCCAATTTTGATGTAGAATCTCAAAAGCTAACCACAGAGGATACTAGAAAGATTATGGCACTACTACAGGAAGTTTGTTAGAGGTGCGATTGTTAAAAGAGGTATTGCGCGTAAAAAATGTGATTGTGATAGTATTAGAAATATAATGAAAATCTGGAAATAGCAATAAATAAAATTATTTTTTAAAATTTGAAACACATTTGTTAAAAGTTTTATTTATGAATTTTGCAGGGTATTTTGACCGATTTTTATATACATCACCTTGAAGAATAAAATAAACATTTCGGTATTAAAATTACATTCGAATTATGTTTAAAAGTGGCATAGATGTATGAATATTTGTTGGGTGGACCTATCAATTATGAGAAACAGAAAAAACTGTAGCTACTTGGGGTAAATCTTCAAATAACCTAAAATCGGAATTGAAGGCATTTTTCACAACATAACCCATTGAGGCATTTGTGTCAGCAGCTTGTTTGTCTTTTGAGAAACCGAAATGCTAAGACTTTCAGAATACCTAAAATTGGAAGGGACCTATTCTTAGAGAACATATAGTCAAAAAGCCTCTACATATGGATATTAAAAAGATATCGGAATATTTAAAATATTGCTGAACTAGGAAAATTTCAATGGAAAATTGCGAAATATTCAATATTACTGGACCTTACATTGAAGGACAAAACCGACAATCAAAAACGATCCCAAAACCAGCATGAAACCAGTAAAGAAAGTAGTAAAGTCGGACGGGGCCGACTATATGATACCCTTCACCACTTTTGGTATATTCAACAGATGAATCCTAACCGACGTCGCATTTTTAAAGGACCAGTAAAATGAAATTGGATCAATAAACATGTCATTCTGCAACCCATACTAAATTTTTCATTTGATCAGATATAGAAGCTATATCTAAATCTGAAACGATTTCAGGAAACTTAACATACATCAATCTAGACCCAAATCGTGCATATCGAAAGATATAAAGGGACTTTGGTGCACCATTTACCTCAAATCGGACAAAAATATATATGGAAGCTATATCTAAATCTGAACCGATTTGCAGGAAACTTACCACACATCATTCTAGACCTTATTCAGCAGGCCATACCAAATTTCTTGCAAATCGGAAGATATATAGGGACTGTGGTACACCGTTTACCTTAAATCGGGCGAAACTATATATGGGAGCTATATATAAATCTGAACCGATTTTCACGAAACTTAGCACACATCATTCTAGACTAAATCAGTTGGCTGTGCCAAATTTCGTGGAAATCGAAAGATATATAGGGACTTTGGTACACCATTTACCTAAAATCGGGCGAAAATATATATGGGAGCTGTATCTAAATCTGAACCGATTTCCACGAAACTTAGCACACATCATTCTAGGCCTCATTTAGTAGGCTATACCAAATTTCGTGCAAATCGGAAGATATATAGGGACATTAGTACACCATTTACCTTAAACCGGGCGAAACTATATATGGGAGCTATATCTAAATCTGGTCCGATTTTCACGAAACTTAACACACATCATTCTAGACCAAATTCAGTACACTATGCAAAAATTCGATCAAATCAAATAATTTTCAGGGACATTGGTGCCCCATTTACCTAAAATCGGGCGAAACTATATATGGGAGATATATCTAAATCTGAACCGATTTTCACAAAACTTAGCACACATCATTCTAGACCGAATTCAGTAGGCTATACCAAATTTCGTGTAAATCGAAAGATATATAGAGACTTTGGTACCCCATTTACATTAAATCGGACAAAACTATATACGGGAGATATATCTAAACCTGAACCGATTTTCTCCAATTTCAATAGGTTTCGTCCTTGGGCCAAATAAGTGACTTGTGCCGAATTTCATCCAAATCGGATCATAAATGCGACCTGTACTTTGTTCACAAAAATACGGACAAACGGACGGACAGACGGACATGCATAAATCGACTCAGAAAGTGATTCTATGCATATTCTTAAAAGTAACCATGGGTCAATCTCGATTTATTTTGCCTCTTACAAACATATGCACAAAGACATAATACCCTGTACCACAGTGTGGTGAAGGGTATAAAAATCACTGGATTGAATTCGGAGGCCTACGAATATTTTGTTTCAATCAATGAAATCGGACAGATTAAGATATTTGAGCCATATCATAATCTGAACAAATTTTAGGCAGTCTTGACTCACGCCATTATAGACACAATTCAGTGCGCAACTCAATATTTCATATCAATCGGACAAACTTTAAGTCTTTGGTGCATAATTTACATGAAATCGAACGAAATATATCTAAATCTGATTCGATTCTCAACAATTTCCTGGGTTCGACACTATGTAACAAAATCATCATCTGGGGGTGGAAAATTCCTTTCGGGATGACCTCCAAATATTCTAAAAAATAAGATCTGAGATCCTCAAAGACAAGAAATAGAAATGCGGATGTTTTTATAGTTATTAATACCCGCCACAATAGTATGGAGGGTATATTAAGTTTTTTTTTTTTTGTTCATCTGTAACTCATAAAATAATCATTTCCGACCATAAAAAAGTATATATTCATGATATATGACAATTTATGCATTTCCGTCAGTCTGTTGTAATCACCCTAGCCTCCAAAAGAATTTCGAAGATGAGCCATAGGCATTCTTATATGGAAATTCAGTTTATACCCTACAAAGAATATAATTCTAAGACGATTTAGACCATTTAGTCATCTTCTACATACTTCTACATTCGGAGGATATCGATCAATATTATCAATATTATTCTTAAATCAATATTATTCTTTATCCTTCAGGTATAGCCCTACATAAATTGCAGTATTTTGAGGATTTCCATTACAAATTGCTCAGATTTGTATTTAGTGTACATTATGGCTTATTGATAGAATTGCCGAGGATAGTTCCTCGTGGGGTGCGAAACGTTAATACTCTATGGTGACATTTTAGGAATTTAATATAAATAAGTTTTCACTTGTTTTATACCCTCCACCATAGTATGTAGGGTATACACCTAAGTCTGTTTTTACACGGTCTTTTTGTACGCGGTTTTGATATAACACGGTTTGAAAATTGAATATTTTTAATTTTTTACACGATTTTATTCCATTTAGCACGATTTGAAATTTTATGTACTTATTTTTTTTTTGTCAAATTTAATTTTTTCGAAGTATGTTCATATCACAAAAAAGTATTTATGAAAGAAAAAAGTCTGAAACCATCGATAGTATCGATAGTTTGCGATCACTAGCTTAAAGATTTAAGTGAATTCCCCTTTATCGCGTACAAAAAAATTTTTACTGGTCAAAGCAAATGTGAATAGCACTAATTTAGGGGAATTCCCTTTTTTACACGGCTTCTTTTGGAACCAATCTACCGTGTAAAAACAGACTTAGGTGTATTAGTTTTGTTTTTCCGTTTGTAACGCATTGAAATAATCATTTCCGACCATATAAAGTATATATATTCTTGATCAGCGTAAAATTCTAAGACTATCTAAAAACGTCCGTCTGTCCATCTGTTGTAATCACTCTAGCGTCTAAACGAGTTGAGAGAGATCGCTAAAATTTTGCACAGATTTTACACAGTCTTCTGTCTGCAGGCAGGTCAAGTTCGAAGATGAGATATATCGGTCCACGTTTAGGCATAGCTCTCATATAAGGGAACCAATAATATAATTTGGTTTTTTGTAGTCGTGTATGGTAACAAACCTCCCTCCCAAAAATTATTAATATTCGCCTCCTTTTAGGGGTAGTCCCCATATAACATCCTTTTTATACCCTCCACCATAGTATGGAGGGTATATTAGTTTTGTTTTTCCGTTTGTAACGCATCGACCATATAAAGTGTATATCTTCTTGATCAGCGTAAAATTCGATGACGATTTAAGCATGTCTTTTGTCTGCTGGCAGGTCAAGTTCGAAGATGGGATATATTGGTCCACGTTTAGGCATAGCTCCCCAATTTTCGGTATTTTGCGGTTCTTGATCTCGTTTTTCAACCGAATTCGCTGAAATTTGGCACTTTGAGTTCTCATTGGGTAGCAAATCTCCCAACCAAAAATTATAAATATAAGATAATTTTTTCGGATAGCACCCATATAAGGGTACCCCCCAATTTTCGGTATTTTGGAGTTCTTGAACGCGTTTTTAAACCGAATTCGCAGAAATTTGGTACATTGGGTTCTTATTTGCCAAATGTCTAAACCAAAAATTATAAACACTTTTACTGATAGCCCCCATATAAGGGAACCCCCAATTTTCGGTATTTTGGGGTTCTTGAGGCGTTTTTCAACCGAATTTGCTGTAATTTGGTACTTTGTAGTCGTATATGGTATCAAATCTCCCTACAAAATCTTATTAGTATTCGCCACATTTTAGGGGTTGTCCCCATATAACCCCATTTTTATACCCTAAACAACTATGTTGTCAGGGTATTATAGCTTTGTGCAGCCCAAAGAGTTTGTAACGCCGCGAAATATTTGTCCTAGACCCACCTTTAAGTATACCGATCGTTATATCTCGACTAGCTGAGTCGATCTAGACATGTGTGTCCGTCCGTCCGTCTGTCCATTATAATTTGTAAACACGATACAGGCCACAGTTATGAACCAATCTTTGCATGTAGGATGGGTTCTGGCCAATGAAGACCCCTATACATAATTTTTGTCCGTTTTTCTGGTCGCTCCAGAGGCCGCAATTATGGCCCATACATCGCGAAATTTTACATGGAGAAGGGGATCGGACCAAAGAATAAGCATGCCTGTTTTGATAAGGATTGGTCAATATTTAGCTGGCCAAATGGACCCTGACTTTTGTGTGAAAAATTACAAAATTTGTGTTCTATTCGCTTTGAAATTTTCCATGAGATCCCAGTTATGCTCAAGGACAACGCCTATAATTTTCGGTGATGATCACATAATAATTTTGGGATGAAGTGGACCGAAAACTTAATTTGTTTGTGTAGTTAGCTAATATGTTCTGTGTGTTGGGGTTATCCCCATATAGCTGTATTCCACTATAGAATGGGGGATATTCTGTAGACCATAGAATGGGGTTATTCTGTAAAACGATTTAGTCGATTTAGCCATATGTTGTTATCATTATTCTATCGGAGGATATCGACATAAAAACTAGAACGTAAGGTTTGAGAATGAACTATATCGACCCGCATTTAGGCCCAGGTCCTATATAAAACATCCTACATATTTCATATTTAGCGTGATGCACGGTATTGGGATTCAAAACGTAATTATTAGCTTTGAACTTGAGCTATATCGGTCCTTAATTAGGCATAACCTCTTATATAATGAAAACACCAAGTATTCGCTATTTCCTACACAATATTGTCAATATTTTTCAATTTTTCACTTGTTTATATTAAAATAGTTAGCTGATTTGTTCCGCGTTTTGGATCGGGTTCTAAAACTTTGTTGTACATTGAAATTTTAAATTTGTATTTCATGTATATCGACAGGATTCAGGAATCTCCTTCATAT